ACAGCGTTTTGGACATTTATTTACGCAATACAATTATAAGTATATTTTCCACTAGGAATTGAAGGATTTTAACTGTCTTTTCATTTTTTTACAAGCCGTGAATATGACTCCGTACAAACAAAGCGCCGTTAGGTATAAATATCAAGTCAGTTCTGAGTTTTTTAATCCCTCTTTTTTGGATATTGCAATGGTTCAACAAAGAAACCAAATTCCAAATGAAGTCAGATAGCGTCTTGTGAGGGCCTATGAAGATCCACAGAAATGCATAAAATGGTACAACCACATGCAAACATATCGACCAAGATGTTTGAATAGAGAACACATTCAAGGATAAATTCACTTTTTTGTTTTTGAAAATGTACAATCGTAAAAGCACAATATACAGTACTAAAGTTTCACGGATTTACTGTGGTCACTCTACTGTGGTCACTCTACTGTGGTCACTCTACTATTGTCACTATTATCACTTTTACTAATACTACTATTTACTAGGGGGTATGGATGGGGGTACCAAATTGTCAGTTAACTACTCATTTTTATGCCAATTGTCAGTTAACTGTTAAAAATTTCACAAGCACTGACGATAATATTGACCAAAACTAATGAAATATCAGTCGGACTGTTAACTACTGTTAGGTCATTTGTCAGTTAACTATTATTTTTAGGCCAATTGTCAGTTAGAGTGAAGGCATTTAACCCCATCCACACCTTCATACTAATATAAATACTACTACACTACTAACAACTGCTAGCCCGCTCCTACTTCTAGTAGTTTTCAAATTTCCCAATCGACAATCGTGACTTCATGCACGTCAATAGTTCAAGTCACGTGACTTATTAATCTATAGTTTCAGTCATTTTTCAACTACTAATCTGTTTTTGGCGAGGCGCAAGATAGAGAAAAAATAGTCTTTTTACTCTTTGATGATTAGTTAGTATCAATAATAAAGACCAAAACAAAAAATGTGGCATCGTATTATTAATGAGTCTTAATGGATATATTGAGCAATACTTTTATAGTCATTTCTCGACTGCTATTGGTAGAGAAGCCCAAAATAACCAGACGTACTAAAATATCCAAATGTATCTTTTCCAAATCTTTACATAGTAAAAATACTTAGTTTTATGATCATTATTATCAATTTTTACAGTCAAACTCACTCATGCGTTTCTATCGAGGGTCAAAGATTCAGTTTATTATTGTAAGTCATGTTTTGAAATCACAGTAAATCCGTGAAACACTAATTACTAAATAGTACAAAATAGTGCTAGTTAATGAAAAGAAAACAATGGCATTTGCATGAAATTGTGCTATTTAGTATTACTAAAGTTTCACGGATTTACTGTGGTCATTCTAATCGGAAACGTGCCTTGGATTATTCATTTGTGAATGGAGTTTTTAAACAAACTACACGACACAGATGAATTTAAAATGGTAACTACAAATGTAGATATAATCTTAGCTCAGTTTGCACAATTCTGTGAAGAACTAAATAAAACGTACGTTTAATCCGAGCCCAGATTTGAGATTCAGTTCGTTCGTTCCACACCCCTCAAAATGTCTCAGTATGATCTCTTTCTCTTGTTAATAAATCTCGCAAATTGGGGTGGTACTAGAGTGAAAGCATTTAACCCGTGACATAAAAAATACTAGTTAACATGTTATAGTCAAATAGACACAAAAGAAAACAATGGAATTAGGGTCTACTAAAGTGACTATTAGTCTAATATCTATTTCACGGGTTTAGCGACTTCACTCTACTACTTACTACTACTACTACTTCTACTATTACTATTAATGCGAGTTTGGTGGAAATTAATTAAACTTCGAATAGTAAACTCAATGTTAGAACCTCGATAGAAACGCATGAGTGAGTTTGACTGTAAAGGTATCACAACTTTAATTATTCTAGAAAAACCAAGCATTTTACAGTTCATGACTTTGAAGAGCTAAAGGAGACAGTGAGTCTAAGTCTGCAGCGAGTTATTAGCCTTGGGCTCTTTTTTGTAAACAAAATGGAGTGTTCATAGTTTTTTTCTCCTGTGATCCCAAAAGTCGGTTCAAAACAAATTTATTAGTTTTCACTACTTATTTTACTTAATTTCAGTCTCCTATGTATGGTACTTTAAACAACTTTTTTCTTTTCAACAACCAAGTTGTATTATCAATTATTTCTCAATTGACACGGTTTTCTTTGTTATTCACAAGGCTTTATTTTTGTTATAACCCTCATTATAAATGCGAGGTCAATATATAGTTAGTTATTAACCCGGTTACTGAATAACTATATATAGACTTCGCATTTAAAATGAGCAACATTTGATAGAAAACCTTCTCAATTGGCAAATAAAATACTTAATTACCTCGAACGTCGGCAATAAGCCTATACACCCCTCGGGCCTGTCTCCGTTATCTGTAATCAACTCTTACGTTGTATTTTAGACTAGTTTCGTTTTTGCCTCAGAGAAAGGGTTTGGGGGTGCGTTTAGCGTGGCGTACCAGTGGCGTTGCACGTCATTTCAAAGTTGGTTTCTTAAATGCTTAAACAGTGTTGCTGTATTGAAATCAATATGGCATTTTCTTTGTTTTTGTTTTCGCGGAAAGAGATGCGTGCCTTCTATAAATTATGTTTGAAAGCATGGATTTGATTTTATTATTTTTGAGGTATGTTAAGACAGCCGAGATTAAAAGATTGAATACCGAAAAAGCATTCTTCAACAAGAGATGCACCCTTCTATAAAAATAATGCTTGAGAGCACGGGTTTTATTTTCTTTTTCTTTTTAAGGTATGTTAAGACAGCGGCCGAGATTAAAAGATTGAATACGGAAAAAGCATGCTTCAACAAAGCCTTTTTTCTTGCTTGCTAGCCATACATCCTAAACTGGTGAGCTGTTAACGTTGTCATTAAGAAATTCTATTTAAAAGTCCATAAATTCAGACAGCGGAAAAAAAACAATTAAAATGACGATATTAAAACGTCAATCTGGATGAAGTCAACAACGCCTTCCTACGATATAAAAGAAGCTGTTCTTTGTCACTGTATTCACTGTAGATAAGAGATCGACCAGGGAACACATTACTTCAGTCTATTAATTCGAAAAAGGTAAGAATTTAAACCTTTCTTAAAAGATTAAAAATTAGCTTGATTGATAATGCATATCATGTATTACACACGAAATTTTCATTTCTTCACAACCAAAGAATAAGAGCTAAACCAGGACAACACAGGCAAGGTGCCGAGACACAAAAGCATTTTCGATACACAAACAATTTTCTCTTATTTTGCAATGTCTAGTATATTAGCAGGATAGTTATAACTTTTCTTGCGGTTGGAGTAAAAGATTTTCTCGCTTCGTACCTTTTTTACAAGCTGCACAAATTAATAATGAAGTTGCCAAAACTTTTTTGTGTTTAGAGAAAAAGTTATCTGCATATGTATGTTGACTTAAAGAGGTAAGATCCTAAGTAGATGTATTTTTTGGTACGTTTTTGTGCATGGCTCGAAGTAAAAAGGTTATCTCTGAAATTGTGCTGCAAGGGGATTAAATCATCAGTTACGTGCGTGAATTGCAAATGAATAATAAAGAAATTTTTGAACATAAAATGAATATTATTTTAAATAAATCTTCACTGTCGGATCTCTACCGAAAATTGCATTGAGTTTTCAGTTGTCTCAACCCAAACTTTTTACTCTAATCTTGTACAGATCGAAAAGTGTATCAATTTGCTCAAGCCATGAGAAAAACAATTAGTGCGTAGTGCTCGTATCTAAAATTCCGCATTCCTGTCTTAGTTCAGTGATCAAACGTTTCATCCAGATGATTTAATGCGAACTGGTTTTTTGCAATGTCATTCCATCTCGACTAACTATTGTTGTTATTATTATTATTATT